GATTGATGTTCTTCCTGATCTTAGGTTACTTGAGATACGATGGTGTGGAGCTTTGGAGTTGTTGCCTAATAAAATATCTTGTCTTGAGTGGTTGAGTATTATTGACTGTCCATCATTAAAGATGATGATGAAGCTACAGGATTGCAGCACCACACTCAGAAGTCTGTCTATTCTGAGTAGGTGGGTGAATTTGAATTTGACAAATTTACTAGGCTCTGGCCACAATTACCCAAGTCTCACTTTTCTAGACATATGGTATTGTGATGGTCTAGAGTCGTTTCTCCATGGAGGCTTGTCCACACCAAATTTAACACATCTAACAATCTTAGGCTATGAACATCTCAAGTCCTTACCCGATCGAATGGATCTACTTTCGTCCCTGTCATCCCTGTGCGTGTCTTATTGTGCTTCATTAATGGAACTCTTTCCCCAAGAGAATATTCCCCCAAATCTGTCTAAGCTGAATGTCACATATTGCGGGAAACTAAAGCCCCTGGGGGAGTGGGGCCTACACAAACTCACCTCTCTTACATACTTCAAATTTGGTGGATGTCCAGAGCTGGTTTCCTTCAGTAACAATGCTGACGAAGAACACTGTGTGCTTCCTCCATCTCTAACTTCATTGTGGTTGATGAACCTGCCAAATCTGGAAATACTATCGAAGGGCTTCCAAAACCTCACATCTCTTCAAAAATTATACATCCACGATTGCCCAAAGCTTGGGGCGCTGCCTATGGAAGACCACCTTAAAAAGCTTTTGAGACTTGACATTATTGGCTGTCCACTTCTTAATAAACGGTGTTTGAAGAACAAAGGAGGCTACTGGCCCATCATTGCGGACATTCCCGACGTCCAAATTGATTAACGTTTCATCCATGATCCATGTCCATGAATTCAATTACACGAGGTAACATATTTAATTCGATACCTATGAATCTCAACATCATTTCAAGCAGAACACTTTTCGACATTTCGTCAATTATTTTTCAAATCAGAATGTGAATTTTCTGTAGCAAATAGTGAATCTACACTTTCTGTAACAGCTATTCAAGTGTTCATGCTACTCTGTATCTCATATGTGTGCTTCTGCTCTGCAGTATAAATCAATATCAGAGCCGATATACCAACAATCAAGTAATTGATTGGCTATCAGCCTCTCTTCTCACCTTGTATGTGTTGTATTAACAGTAAAATTCTATCAAATAGATAAAATTGGAGCGATAGTTGTTTATTCAATTAATCACCTTCAACTTGGATAGAATACGTGATTAAATTATTAATATTTTGCTTCAATCTGCTTTAGCAAATTGGAAATGCACTGATTCGACTTACTCTATGTTTATGCATTTTTGAGTTTTATGTGCGGTGTGCTTTTTTTTTAAACCTTTCTTTTAGACTGGAAGTTCTTACAACATTTGAATGAAACTACTATGTAGGCATTTTCTGATTACTTGTAAGAACGCAAGATGGAATGAAGGTGCCTCTTCAATTAGATCTTCAAGTAAGTTTCTGTTTTGATTTACTTTTTGCATTTGCACTTTAAGTGTTTGTGTAAAGGTCACAGTAAAATTAATGCTCGCCTGCTATCACTTAAGTTGATGTCTCTCTGTATGGCATCATATGAGCCAACAGGTAGACGGGTTCATCTGGCCCTTGAGAGAGAGATCCCGGCAGTCATTGACAGCTTCATCTCAAGACAGCTCCTATTTCCATCCTTGTCATACGACATGGTTCATTGCACTCAGTGTAGCATTGGCTGGGATGACAAAGGTACGATCCTCATTATGGTTTAGGATTTTGTTTTCCCCCCTTAAATCAGCATTTGTTCGTCAGATTGAGTGCAGTGTTTTTTATTGATGTTTTTCCGAGAAAATTACTTCAACAGTTAGCCTTGTATGTATTGGTTTAACCTTTTGTTTTGGTGTG